ACCCAATGGTGTCTGTGGAATCTGTAGCACAGTTTTGAAATATCTTCTGGGAAACCGCTTTTATAAATATCAAGACCATTTCAGCAGTACTTTTGTTCTGCTTTATTCTATAAAATGTATTTGAAAAGAATTTTGTAAGATATATCATAATTACTATAGTTAATGAAAATCATGCAAATATTTTGACTTGTAAAAGTAAGATTAAAAAAAAAAAGTCTTTGTTCTTAAGGGATATCCTTTCAATGCCTAAATATCAGTATTAGGGGAGATGGAAGTTCATGAGAGTTTTCACCGAGCGATAAAGGAGATGAGAAATATGGCTGGAAACCAAGACGACGCATCTGATAGCAAGGAAGAGACTCCTTCCATCTGGCTACTGAGACAGAGACCTCTGTTACAGGAGTGCTGGACACCCTGGGGCAAGGCAGCCAGACTGAGTGGCTTTATAGCAGGAGAGCTCTTTGCTCTGGGAATAATAAAAAAAAAATTCCAAATAGGTTTGGAGTATGTCCCTGTATTAGCTGATACAGAGGAGGAAGAAATTTGCGAAGCTTAGCAAAAGGAAAAAAGTTCAGGTTTTGACTTTTCTGTTACACACACACACACACACACACACACACACACACACACACACACACCCCCCGCCCAGTTTAGAACCAAAACCTTGATTTTGGAGCATCTATAGTATTTGACACACAACATCAAAAAAGCAAAGCAGCAGTAAGACAGGGTCTAGCTGTAGCATTAAGCCCTTGAGGAGGATCTTGGCAGCACCACGTGTATCTCCTTCCAGCAAAAGCTGGCAGGGATGAAGGAAGGGTGTTAATGAATCTGTTTCTGGAGTGAAGCTGTCTGTGGCAGTTGAGTCTTATCTGTAAAGTTCATCCTTCACCATGGCTCGGAGGCCCACAGGTATTTGGCTTGCACAGGCCAGTTTAGGCTCTGGTCACAGCTTACCAATGCTTGTCTGAAACCCAAGGCAGGACTCCAGAACTGGTGTATCAAGGCTGAAATCTGGGAAACGCCAGCGGTGCTCAGTGCAACAACTCGTGTCTTACCAGGAGTCTTACCTTTAACCATAAAAATGAGATCTCTCTTTTGTGTCATTTCCTATTTAGACCAGATGCCTTTGCTTATTAGTAGAGTTTTGATGAGGCTGAGAGCTGCTCTTACTTTCATAACTTTTGCTGACAACTTCCTGCCTTTTAAGTAGCTGGTAAAGTGTAACTCTGTATTAACAAGGATTATTACTATTATGAGGTGTAGAGGGAGGAGTGATGCAGTCTCCAGCATCAGTGGCACTTCTGAGCTCAGCTTTCAGGAAATGGCGGTTGGTTTCCATCCTTCATAATAACATAATAAATCAAAGCATTCTGCACCAGTATTTGAGTTACGTGCCCATGGTGTGTTGGAATCATCATGGAAAACATAATGGGTGGCTTTGAGATGTAGAGATTCATGAGGCTGCTTAAAGGTGAGTCCCACTGGTCCTGGTACTCTGTGGACTAGTTGATGACATCAAGTAAATATCTAAATAGCCACTGCAAGGCTGTTGGTGCCAAAAATGTGGAATTGTATGATAATCCAACACATGTCCATGTACGGGCTACACTTTGCTGGTCTGAGGTCTCATGCATTTCCTGTTTTTTCCCACAGGCTAGCTAAGAGGCTCATCCTATATTTCATTGAGATAATCTTGATCAGGGTATATCAGGAAGCCAGTAAATAAGCTGTCTGTCCAGTAGGGATCATAAAAGAGCCCATTTTGTTCTGAGTAAAAGATCTGCAGCCATACCTCATCCTCCTGCTTCAGAGAAAGGATGGTTGATCCAGAGGCAACGTCATGGTTCCCAGTGTTGGCATCAAAAGTCTTGATCCGGTACTGCCCGTTGTGGACCAAGCCAATGGCCAAATGTTTGTTGGCCAAAGTGATATCATAAGTGAAGTAGTAAATACCTGGGATGCTGCATACAAATTTTCCACTGGAAGCATTGTAATGTCCTCCCTCGTTCATCAGGATCCTGTCAAATTTGATGGGCAGCCTTTCCCTTGGGTAGCTTTTTGAGACAGCCACAGAGAAGGCAGATTTGGCTTTGTTGCCATTACAGGTGCAGGGTCCTGGCATCCCGGTCTCACCCTTGTTCCCTTTGGGTCCCTTCTTTCCTGGTGCTCCGTTTTTTCCAGGATTACCCTTTAAACCCTTGGGCCCTCGTGGGCCGGCCTTGCCGACAGCTCCTGCTTTCCCCTTCGGTCCTGGCTTGCCAGGGTTTCCTGTTCTGCCTTGTGGACCTAGAAGACAAATAACCTTGTAAATTCTTCAGCGAAAGAGATGATATGGCAAGTGGAAAGGGGTTGTATCGCTGCAGTGGTATATTTTCATTTAGGAGGAAAACCTTGCTGGTGAGAATCCTGATGAAACACCACCTGGGGCTAGACATCTATCAGGACTGACTAACCATGTTGGGCAGTTGGCATGATAACAATGGGGCTTGGGAGCAGGATAGTCTGTCCCGTCTAAGGACAAAAAGGCTGGTTCAGTCATCTGGCTCACTTGAGAAAAAGGACTAATTATAAAACTATTACAAGCTTTAAGTGTTTGGGTTTTTCAGGAGTGGGACAGGTTTGTGAAGCTTTTTGGAACCTAGCTTGGAGCAGATGGAATACTTCTAATCTCTCTCTCTCTTTTTTTGTGGGGTTTTTTTTTTTTTTTTTACATTTAGCATGAAACTGTTTTAAAGAAGAATACTACATTCTAGGTGTAGTAAAAAGCCCAGCCTAACTGGGGGATAAAGTGGTCATGAACCAGAAGACACCCAGTGCAGGAACTGCCTTGAGATGGGAAGCGAGTTGGGCTTTCACAGTGATGCTGAAACTGCTGATCAGTGCTGATTGCAGTAGTGCCTGATCGAAGACACATTCATGGGGATTTATACCTTGTCTCTTGACCTGCTGTAGCAAGACTGGATTTAAAGGCAAGTGTAGGCGGAAACCTGTCCTCCAGATTCCCTGTTTTGGGGGCGGGAGAAGAGAATAAGATGCAGCTTTGGCACGCCGGTGTTACGCCGAATCAGGAGTGCACTCTAGTGTGGCAATGGGAAATGACTGTTTTCTCACCATAGCCGGTCCTGATGCTTACGGACTGTAAGGCTGGACCTAAAGGAGAGCCCCACCTCAGGATTAAAAAAGGGCTGCTGTTAGCTTTGATTTAGATTGAGCATGGTCAGAGCAGTGCCTCGGGAGCAAATACTTAATTTTTTCATCTGACTTTGTTTTGCTCGAGAGCAGGAGTCAGACACTGCCACTTTGTCTCGTTTAGAGAGCGTGTATCAGAACGGGGAAAGTCTCACTCCATAATACAATTAAGCTAATAGGAATTGCGTATGGCATTAAGGTGCTATCGGCAAATAATGCCAGTCTGAACCCTCCTGGCAGGGACTGACGAGGCGATGTTGGAGGGGGGAGACTGGAAGTTTCTAGAAGAGTTTCCTATAAGGAGATGTCTGTCCTGAGGCTCAGATTTGGGCTGACAGGTCGCTGTTAACTGGGCTGTTGTGCTGTTGCTTTTACATTTTACCCTTGTTGTGTTAAGCAGCACTTTTCTCTTACCTTCATCGCCGTGCTCGCCTTTATCCCCATCCTTGCCGTCCTTGCCATCTTTGCCTGGGAAGCCCATCCTGCCGACCGTCCCTGGAGCCCCGGGCGCCCCGGGGGGGCCGGGGG